TTAAAAAGTCTCTTTCATTCACAATTAACTCTCCATTAATGGTAAACTTTACTAATTTGCTGACTAAATCCATCACGGAAATGCCTAATACAAAGTATCTAGACTAACATCAATGTCAACATAAAACAACACTATTACCTTGTATTGTTAACTATTAACTTGTATTATTTTCTTGTTTCTCACTAATCTTCTGAATAACTGCTAGTGTCAAGCCACTTACAATAATAACTACGAAATGCGCACAAGTGTGCATGGAATTTAAGAGCTGAGCTCCGTAACTGTTTTGTTGTTTCCCTTGCATGAAATCACGTGATATTTGGGACATATTTGCGTCACATAGTTTGTCACGCATAGATCTCTTGCGGTGGGGTATGTGGTTCTGTTGCTGAGTTTATGGTGAAATCCGTGCGCCGCTGATCTGTTTACTACTCTTCTCGTTTTCTGGTTTGGTTTTGTGCAACTCCAAGCTGCATTATAGCTGGATGCACAACTGCAATGCTTTGAAGTGATGACGATTCCGAACGATTTCGTTTGGTTGGCTGCGGTGAACGTCTTAAAGACTTTCTTACGAATTATATTTGTGCCTTGTGTATAGTGATGCTTACAATCGTCTCTGTTGACGGAAATACCAAAGTATTGCGTTGCATGTTATAATGAATGCCAACAAACGGTAAACTAGATGCGAATTTTATTAGATGAGATATTATTTGGTAGCCATTACTTTAATATTTTTTTAGGTTTGCGACCTCTATTGTTTGCTGTAAGATTATGCAACAAAATTATTAAGACACCCAAACCAAGAACACTACTGTGTCAATGTTAAAAAAGGCTCTATGAAAGGGATTTCGTTTGAGTATTGTAGGTAAACTAAAATTTTAAAGTATTGTATATATAGTTTCAACTTTTTATTAAGTTGTAGTGAATACGAAAGAGAATAAATGTTTAAAATTTTAATAAGACGCTAATTTCTGCCATTGGGTTCTGAGACAATGAGGGCAGAATCAAAGACGTGTACTAGACGTCTATGGACAGATTGGACGTTCACCGTCATGGCGGACCGTCATCAGGAATACTGACACACTAGCGTGTTGGCTCCAGTCCACCCTAGAGCTCGCTGCTTGTGGCCCACCCGGTAGTCTAGCTCGTTGCTCTACGCACACGTATTCAGTCGATCACGGCCTCCTGAAGCTTCGCCGGCAGTTGTTCGCGGCGACAGTTGAGCTGGCCGTGAGGGTGAAGCAGCCAGGCAGGTCCGTGAGGCAGGCGCCATGAGAGGTTGAACGTGAATCGCGGCCAGCCCCGACGGCCCCCGGACCGCGACTCACAAGCAACCAATAGCCAGGCGCACCTGTGAGTCACGTGAACACCAGGCCAACTCTGTTTGGTGGGGACCGAAGAAAGCGTCGAGTTGCAAGTGTCGATTTCTGTGGTTATAGTACGGGCTAGTGTGATGTTTATTTGGTGGAATAGAGAAATTTTGAACGATCCTATTGTTTTATTGTGTTATTTTGTTTGCTAGTTAAAAAGAAATCGCGTGAGCTCTCAGCACCCCCAACGGATTGAGATATGTGGTTGGGTTTGTCAGAACTGTGTTCGTAATTCTTGGTGGAGAAACATCATTCAAAAGTAATGTCATGTTGCCAGTGCTGACTCTTGTAGCTGTAGTACGAACTGGTAAGACGTTGTTTTGATGGAATAGAAAGATTTTGAACGTGCCGGACATTTTATTGTGTCAATTCATTAGATAGTTATAACAACATACTGTTAAGTCACGACATCCTAGCGAGAGCGAGTTGTTGAAATCACCAGGTATGTTTCCAACTGTGTTAGTGATTCTTGGTGGAGATGTGTTGTTGTTGTGTGTGTCACGTAGATACATAAATACGTTAGTGATTCTCGGCGTAGAAACATAAATCAAAAGTTGTGTCATGTTGCAAGTGCTGATTCTCGTGGCTGTAGTACGGACTAGGAAGGCGTTTTGATGGAATGCAAAGATCTGGAATGAGCCGATTGTTTTATTGTGTCATTTCGATAGCGAGTTTGAACAAAATCACGTTGGGTCACAACACCCTAGTGAGATGGAGTTGTTGAATTTTCCAGGTAGGTTTCGAGCTGTGTTCGTGATTCTTGGCGGAGAAGACGTCAGTCTAAGTAGGTTGAGTTTACCTGTTGCCCGGATGAGAATCCATGTAGGTGGATGCTCTGATCGGCAGTTTTCCGTTTTATCCAATCAATACCAGTAGAATGCCGGAGCAGTACCCAAACAAACAGGCTAGGATCACGCGTTATCTTTCCTTCCTCTTTCTTGTCCTATACTCTCCCTGTACTTGCACACACATGCACTGCGCTACCACACATGCCAGGACACTGGTCGGAAGGTTAGAAAAAAATAGGTTGAACAGTTTAGCAGCTAGCATTCTGAGAGTTTCTGGTTGGAGAGAGTATCAGAATAGGATTTCCAGTCTGTTTGAGATGTGGGGGAGGTTGGGGAGTGTAGAAACGAGTGGTGACTGTGAGTGAGCGTAGTGAATACTATGGGCAGGTGGTCGGAGCAATTGAAGAGATGGAATTTTGGTATAGGTGTAGAAATGGTAAAGTTGACTGAACGGAGGGTTATGCCTAGGATGTCAATTGGTCGCTCGGGAATGAAGTGAGTGGGTTCAGAGGGGCTTTTGATTTGGATGGATGGGTATTTAAAAATTGTTCGAGTCTTCGCCCAGGTACATTGTAAGTCCTGCAGCCCTACTCAGGGGATATTGAATTTAAGTCGCTTGTAAGAATGGAAGGATATGGGGAGGTTGAGGAGGGTAGTGAGTTCTGAGTCAGGTAGGGGTGTATTTCGTTTAATGTAGGCTGAAATTATTATTAAGGGAGGTGTAGGAGTGCCTAGAATTTTGGCAGAGCATTCTAAGGTAGTGGTGTTGGGGAATTGGAATTCAGTGTGGGGGATATTTCTTCTGATTAGCATGACAGTGCCTCCGTTTGGGTGAGGCGGTCGTTATGGTATGTGGTGTAGTTGGAAAGGCAGAAGAGTATATTTGATTTTAACGAAGTTTCCTGTATGCAGAGAATCTCGACGCAGTGATCTTTTATGGATTGAGACAGGAGAAGTTTCTAGGTTACGACCGCCACGTGCATTTAATGAGGAAAGGCTTTGAAAGCGAATGGAGGGAGCCGTTTAAATTGCCAAATGTGTGAGTTTCATACCTGCTAGGAGGACTAGGAGGAGTTTCTGAAGGATATCCTCTGGGACTTTGAATATTTCTATGGTTCTTTGGAGTGGTTTGAATGATGTTGGATTATGTTAGGAAAGTAAATAGTTCTTTGAGGTCATTTAATGATGAAGATTATTATGTTGATTAGGATTGGGATGGTATGTTTTGATTATGGCATTGTTGATTTTAAGTGGAAGCATAGGATTGTGATGGGGTTTTGAGATGTGGGAAAGATTAATTGTTGTATTGAATTGGGGAGAGTGATTCTGGTACTGCTGATCTGTTGATGCCTTTCTTGGCGTGCATGTGAGATGAAATGGCATATGGGGTCGTAAGCAGGGTGATTTCATGAACAGTTAAAGCACTTACAGATGGGGTTTGTTGCTTGTGAGAGAGGGCATGATTCATGACTGGAAAAAGTCGGCAGTAAGTTGTAGTGTGAAATAATTTTAAGCAGTTTTTGCATTGGGGGATGTGGTCTGTTTTTGGTAGTGGTCAGTCCGAATGGTGTAGTGTCCATTGTATTTTAGTTTTTGACTAATTTCTGTGATGTCTTTCTTGGGAACTTCTAAGGTAAATAGTCCAAGGAGAATTAATTGTCCATTGTCCCGACGCTGGATTTCAGTGATATGGTATACTGTAAGTTTTAGTTCGGTCATGTGTTGTCTAATAATGTTTACTGGGAAACTGGGTGGTAGTCCTTTGAGAAGGTTGTCACGTGCGTCTTCAGTCACTCTGTTGTAGAAGTACGAAATATTTGGAAAGTACAGTGAATTCAGTTGTGGGTCAGATCTTATTTTCTCTAGTGTGGCTCTTATTTGGGAGTCGGCCGTTACTGTTTTGGGGTGATTAGCAGTTCAGATCTATTGCATTTTATTCATCATCAAAAACAGAGTTTAGGTCCATTTTCAATTGGCCATTCCTAGGTCGCATAGTCGGAGGCATGGTGGTCAGAGAGGAGGGAGTTCCGTTTTGAGGGATTGGTGTGGTAGAGTTTTGATCCTGTATGAGTGATGCTGAGGTAAATGTGGAATACTTTACGTTCTGTTGAGACGATGTTAAGGTGGAAGAAGAAGAGTCATTGATTGAAAGTGGACCAAAGGAATTGTGCCGTGGGATGTGTGGAAGAAGAAAGGGAGGTTGCTGTCTACAGGTTTTTCTGGGGTTCCGGAACGCTCCACCAGTTTGGTCATGCTGAGAAGGGTTGCCCCGTATGGAGGAAATGATTTGCTCCCTTTTGAATCCTAGGGTGAGCCGATGAAAAGCCGATGAAAAGATACCTTCAGCGTCCATTGCGTCTTCTCCGTTGCTGTTGCTCGCCATTCGAAGAAACAGCCGAGGCCGCACCTCCGATATCTTAACTTCCTTCCGGCTGTTGAGCGCTTCTCACGCTAGTTTGAAGAGTTGCCTTGAAACGTTTTCAACGGTCGGCGGGGGTGGGAGTGGTGGCTGCGCTTCGCCACAGAACGTTGAGGAGCTTTCTTCCCAACCGCGCGGGGTATATATCGCCACGCGGTGAACTCGGGAACGAAAATGTCTAGATTTTTGACGTGGTGCTAATTTCGTGCACTCAAAATTTAATTATTGTTATTAATTTTTTAAAAAAAATTTTAGTCATCGTGCAACTATTAATAGTTAAAATATTGAGGAAGGGATTTTGGAACTTAAGAAAACGTGCGCAGAAAATGTCCTTCATATTCCACCTACAGTTGTATTGTTTTTTGATGAAATAAATGAAAAGCAAGCCGCCTGGTTGTGCAGTCGCGGCGCGGCGTTCGAGGAAGGCTCCCGGGCGATACCAGCGCCTCCTGCACCATGGGCAACGCGCTCGGCGTGCTGGACTGGCCCAGCGCCGCTCAGGTACGTCACGACGGCCATTGCCACGGACGGAGCCGTGGAAACAAACATATCTTGCTCTCTCTCTCTCTCTCACTCTCTCTCTCTCTCTCACTCTCATATTTGTATATATATATTGAGAATACTCTATAAGAAAAGAGAAAACGGATGCACATATTTATTTATATGAATATTTAATTTAGATTAACTTGAGCTCAGTTTCTTTCTTCTATTTGCGATTCAAATGAAAAGATTCGTGGACAAAATGCCAATGAAGATGTTCTGAAAATCTCTTTTTTTAGTGGCTAGCCGGACACACTATATTGCATGCGTGTGGCAGCGTTCAAAATCAGGATATTAATGTTTTCTATTCTAAATTAATAAACGATACAACGTAGCACATGTTAGGCATGTGGTGAAATGAGTAGAGGACAATTGACGTCAGTGGAGGACTGTTCTCCCCTATTGGAGGACGGTTGGCAACCCTAGTTAATAGCACATATTTGTAGTATATTTGCCTTTAAAAATAGTTCCATGGCTACATGGAGCGAGTATTTTCTATTGAATTCTTTCGCTAATGAGTACATGTACTCATAATTCAACATAATATGTATACGTGGCTAAAATCCCAGTGCTTTAGCAAGCGTACTCACATTCCACTTCTCGCCACAGTACGTTACAAACAGATTTAACGTTTTTAGGTAAATAATAGCATTTTGTTTATAAAAGACGATAAAGCGATACTACGAGAGGAATGTCTTACATCACGAGCGACAATAGAAGCATGTGAGATATCTTTTTCTAGCTGATAAATTATCTTTATCATCGGGAGTAATATTTTATTTTATTTCAGTATTTAGTAAAAAAAATGTTAGGTTACGTTAGGACAAAATAGTTTGCTGTGTCGTCGCATGCGAGGCGTATACGATATATCAAATAGTGAGACGATGTATACTTGAGATTTTATATCGTGGCGCGTCAGGGCCTGTCTTCACGATGGAATATCTCACGGCATTTCGCGACATTTTTTCTGTAGTGCCGCTAGATGTCGCATGATCGCCGGTACTGCTCCTTGCGACGTCTAGCGCCGCGACCGAGACAGACGCGAAATGTCGTGAGATATCCATCGTGAAGACAGTCACGGACGCGCCACATTATAAAAACCGAAGATTATTATTTAATTTCATGTTCTTAGTTGGTAAAATAAAAACAATCAGTACCTTCGGTAACATCAGGAAAAATAGTTCCCTTCCCCGCCGCCAGGAGTGCGTGCGCCATCACCTGGACAGCCCGGGAGAGGAAGTTTTATCCAGACTGAGGTAATGATGTGTGTTTCAGCTGGCGGCGCGTCACAGATCCCTCGCCTGCATGCGCAAAATAAGGAACGTATGCTTCTCTGGTGATGGGAAAGAAGTAAGGGCGATAGGCGAGCTTGCGTAGGCCGCGAAAGAGGGAAGGTGGACGGAGGGGTGCGCGGCGCTGGGGCGGGACGGCAAGGGGGCAAGGCGCGACAGGCAGTTATGAGACGACTTGCTGAGAGGCAAGGCGTGGGGGCGCGCTGTGGCGCGAGAGACGCGGGATGCACAGAGCGCGGGGCGGGGCGGGGGGAAAAAAATGGAAAAAATATAGGGTGTTCTGCGGGGCTTGCGGACCTCGCGGGCAATCGGCTTCTTCGGGCTAAGGCGGAACTCACTCGCACGAAATGCGGAAGATGGTTTCGCTGCGCTGTGGTGGCAGGCTGCCTGCATGCCGGTTTCAGAGGGCCCCGCGCGCCCGCCGCCTGGCGGCAGATGGGTCCCCTCGCACCCCTGCGGGCGCATAACTTCGCTCACGGTTCAGCCACCCTCCCTCACCCCCCTTTCTCTCTGCCTCTCTTCGCCTCCCCTCTAATGCCCTCTTTTCGCTACTACCCAGCTCTCATAAACATGCTCGTCTTCGACCCCAGCGGCGCACTCTCTGAACGATCAGCGCCTCCCCACGCCTCTTCACGACCCGCCTCTTTATCGTCGACCCCGCTCTCTAAATGCCCTCTTCGCACCCGCTCTCAAGTTCAAATGCCCTCTTCGTTCAACCGCCGCTCTCTAACGCCCTCTTTGCACCCCTGCTGCGCACTTCCCATGCGTTCAGCGCCCTCCCTGACTTGCGCTCTTCGCAAACCTGCTCTCATAAAATTGCCCTCTCTCTCTAAATGCCCTCTTCGCACCCCGCTCTCTAAATGTCTTCTTCGCACCCCGCTCTCTAAATGCCATCTTCGCACCCCCGCGGCGCAGTCTCACGGTCAACGCCCTCCCTCAGTACCCTGTTCGCTCTCTAAATGCCCTCTTCGCACCCCGCTCTTTAAATGCCCTCTTCGCACCCCGCTCTCTAAATGCCGTCTTCGCACCCATGTGGCGCACTCTAACGTCAGCGTCCACCCTCACTCCCCTCTTCGCACCCGCTCTCTAAATGCCCTCTTCGCACCCCGCTCTCTAAATCCCCGCTTTGCCTCTCGCTCTTTAAATGTCATTTTCGCACCCGCTCTTTGAATGCTCTCTTTGCACACTGCTCTCTAAATGTCCTAATCGTTTCACGTGCTCTAAATAAGTGTATTTAGATAAGTGTATATGTGTATCTAAACAAACCACACTCTATTTGCCACAGTCGCATTTCGATCACGAATTTATCTCCACTCACTGCGCTAATTCTTTGCGTAACCCGCCCTCTAAATGCCCTCTTTACATCATGCTCTGTAAATGCCCCCTTTGCATTCCTATTTCTAAATCGCCTCTTCATAACCCGTTCCCATGCCCATCTCTACAAAAAGTTCTCTATATGCCTTATTCGTAACCTGCTCCGTATCTCCTTAGCACGCTCTCTAATTGAATCGTTCATTTTTAAAACCTCGTAAGTCACACTCATTGGCATTTTCGCTTTTTGTGAGGACATAGAAGCTGTAGGATAGATGCACCGTTTCATGTGTAAATCCCGTAAATCAAATTAATAGAAACTAATAAAGATACTGCAAACTTTTGGTTTGGGTTAGAAAATCTCTAAATCATTGATTTGGGTGTTTACATGACTGTATATGTATGTAAGTATATGTATGTGTATATTTAGTGGGAATATCTGGAATGTCACTGACAGAGAGATTGAGATAAGATATAAGGGATAATCTCTCTCTGTCATATATATATATATATATATATATATAATATATCGTATATATATATATATATATATATATATATATATAGTTGACCGTACTCATCCCAGACCCTCCTTTGAGGGGGTCTGTCAGCAGACAGGTGAACTTATAATCACACATTATTTTATCAGTTAGATAAAATTATTAAGGAGAACAGGGACTCTGTTTCAGGTTCTTGCTACTGTTTCTATTGCTTCTTTCATCATTTTTTATTCTTCACTTTTTTCGATCTGCTGCTCTTATTCCTCACTCTTTCTTCTTTCATTGTTTGAATATTTCTTTTGTTATTTTTATTGTTTTAATTGTTTGAATGTTTTCCTCTTTTCTTATTAATATTCTTCCTTTTGACGTATCGCTCTGAACATTTTTATTCTTCTTTCAAAACTTAATGCTTCACCGTTTTTTGTTTCGCATTCTAAATATATAAATATATTATAAATATATATTAGAAATATATATTAGAAATATATATTAGAAATATATATTATAAATATATATTATAAATATATATTAGAAATATATATTAGAAATATATATTTATAAAAATTAATACTAACGCACCACCTTGTCCACCTTTTCTTCCGTTGTTGCGCGTCTTGATTACATCGGAGGAACCAAAGGAGCAGAGCGTGGAGCGTGGAATGCGTTGCAGGTGCTGCCTCTGGACGTGACGAGCGCAGAGAGCGTGGCCGCCTTCAGCCGCGGCGTCGAGCTCATACTCAAAGAGGACGAAAAGCGGCAGCTGCTGGCGCTCGTTAACAACGCTGGCGTCATGGTCTTCGGGGAGTTCGCCTGGCAGACGGAGCGCCAGATCGAGCAGCAGATCCAAGTAAGGGCGGACGGAGTGTAGGTCTTCGGGGAGTTCGCCTGGCAGACGGAGAGGCTAATGTAGTGTAACAAAATAAATAACCCGGTATACCGTTCAATAGCCCGCTATATCGAATTCGCCGAAATATCTAAGACACATATAACTCCTCGTTGATTGCCTTCATTATCCGAGAACCCCGAAAAAAGAATTCAGTGACCAGTCGGAAGCGGGAAGAAGCGCAGTGCTTGGTGCGCGTGCGCAGGTGAACCTGTGGGGGCCGCTGCGCGTGACGCGTGCGCTGTGCGGGCTGCTGCGCGAGCACGCGGCGCGCGTGGTGACGGTGAGCAGCCACTGCGCGCTGGAGGCGCTGCCCGGGCTGGCGCCGTACGCGGCCACCAAGGCGGCGCTGGAGGCGTGGAGCGCGGCGCTGCGCGTGGAGCAGGCCAGGCACGGCGTGCGCGTCGTCACGCTCGTGCCGGGCACCTTCAGGTGAATCTAACGCATGGCTTTCTTCCTTTTGCTTTTTTCTGTTCTCTTTTTCTGTCCTTGTTGCTGATCATCTTTACTTTTATTATATATTTTTGTTTGTGCAAGAATCGGGCACGTCACGGCCAACGAATTGTTTCTCTCGTTTTTTCTTTATCGTTAGTTATTGTCTGTCCTGCCATTATTTAATTTAATGCCATTTGCCTTTTACAACATGTCCTGAAAGAGAGATCGCAGGGACACAAGAGACAGAGTGGGGGAAACAGAGCCAGAGGGGAGAAACGAGATAGTGAAAAAGACAGACAGAAACGAGAAGAGAGACAGAGTAGGGAAAATGAGGGAGGGGGAAAAGATATAGAGGAGAGAGAGAGAGAGAGAGAGAGAGAGAGAGAGAGAGAGTAGGGAAAGCAAGAGAGAGGTAGAGGAATATTTCCACAATTATTTCTCCTGCAGCAACGCGCCGGGTTCCCGCTAGTCATGTAGTAAAATAACCCACATCCCCCTCCTTACGAATTGCCTACGTCGAGGGGTGATGGCGAACTGCGTCCAGCCAGCGATTCGTTGCCGCTTTTCAAAATCCTATGTAACAAATAATTTTATTTCAGTAAATAAGAATCGTTTCGTATTGTTTTCTCATTCTTTTCATCTGTTACATTTTCGAGAATTGATACGAAGACCAGTCAAATTAGATAAATCGTGTGAAACAAAAATCTCGTAGTTTTGAAACTGGGCATGAATTTTCGTACATCGCACTAAAATTCTTTAAGTGAAGGGGTTGCGGGAACCGTTTAAGGGTTTTTGGGTGCATCGCCATATCTATCAACCGAAAGGTTAGCTCTGCATAAAATGGATATAGTTAAAACTAGCGTACCCTTCTTAGAGTTCTCGCGTATTAAATTCCATCCTCTCCCCTACCTTTCCTTTTCCATATTAAGAGAGAAAGTTGTTTACACAACGTATTTATTTGTTTAAAACATTTCAATTAACTTCCAATGTACTTATAAAATTTAAGGTAAATATACAGAACATTGAAATTTACGTTTCAAACATATTTTCAATAAAGTTTTATTCAGTGTTAAAGACATGTTCTTCAAACAATACACAATACTTCCTTAAAAACAGCATTTGAAGTAAATACACAGTCTTCAACAGTTAGCTTTTTGCTTTCCTTTATAGTAACAAGAATATTACAAAAGCTTTTTACTCTCGAGGAAGCTACATAAAGTTGTATGTAAATCTTCATCGGTACCAAGCATCTATTAATACTTTTTGTTGCTTGGAGGTCATTTAGGTTTCTTTGCTTCATCTTGAATTAACTATTATGCAAATATGCCTCCTCAGTCGACGCTAACCACATGTACACAGAAAGCAGACATAGAAGTTGGAGAAATTTAAACCTTCTAAGCGTGACGTCCCAAACAAAGATCGCGTAGATCGTAATATAGTTGGTATTCAATAATATCGATAAGCACTGGATCAGCAAAAATGTAGTATAATGTCTAAGAATATCGTATATATTATCGTTTGTATTACGGCTTAAGAAACGCTTCTTTGAAGCCTGGGGTCAAAGGTATAAGGCCTTTGGTCGCAAAATTTTAAGTTTTGAGGTCATGAAACACTTCAGTTAGGAGTTATTTAACGATAGATATTTTAAAAAATCTTGACAAGTGTTGCGGGTTGCATTTCGCATGAATATTTAGGTGCTGTTTTTAACAAACCTTTCATATGTTTAAAGTCAAAGTGCAATTCGTCCCGTATTCAACAAATTATCTTTCTTTAGAGACTTATTTCTCAAGATTGGTTGCGTGTGAGAGCCGCAAAAGGTATGTATACTACTGAAATAACATAGGAGACGATTTTCTACAAAAAATGTTCTTATAAGGAATTGTCGTAGAATGAATCGTTAGTCTCGGCTGGGGCATTGATACGCAGGTGGGAGATACCTGGTTGGGAAAAATCCTCGCAAGTGGACGAGTGTGTCGATGCCGGTTCTCGCCAGCCAGCGGGGGAAGATAAGTTAGTTAGTGAATTGCAGTTCAATTTAATTTGATGATGCGGTATTTTACGTGGCGAGACTCAGGCCAACAGACCCGCTCTTCCGTCCGAGCACGCAAATTTCGCTACGATCCTTTCACCAACTAATGGAGAATAAGGTATTACTCGGGTGACGAAACAGGCGAGATGAATTTAGATCGGATATTGCGCAGTCTATGCGCTTCAGGCACCAGTTTACGTCACAACATTCGCGGGAATTTTATATGATGCCAGCCAGATACGAAAATTATTACAAGTCATCGAAACAGATATAAGATACATTTCTTTTAAATATTGAAACTTTTGCGTGAACTACGTCTTTTGTGTTATTTTTGGATGTTCACCGTTGAAAATTATCATCTTATGCCTCTTTCTAGATGTTTCTCAACACTTCTAACTTGCCATGCAGGATGGCGGCCAGCGTCTGAACCGGCTTTTCAAACGAAGTGCTCGTGTTGTGGTCACGTGGTTCGTGACGAATCTGTTGCTGCGTAAACGAGCAGAAATCGGAGCGCCGGTCTAGCTCACCCATCTCTTTTTATCGTGGTTGCACCCCGGAAACCAAACGGCATTCGATGCATTGAAGTTCAGTTCACTACATCTACGAGCGAGGCACATTTCAAGGAGGCTTTGGCGACGCGGGAAGTGTGGTGAAGGGTTTTCTGGCACAGAATGGCCCTTCGATCATTGAGCTCCTGGCCACCGAAGAGACGGGGAACACTGAAGGTTATACGTGGTGTAGCGTCGTGCCACGCTCAAACCGCCGGATGTTAAACAAAGGGCGAAGTGATGACGCACTGGGACTTTCCGTGGTCGTAGCGGGCCCAGAGTGGCTTTGGGGAGGAAGCAATGGGGGCGGCGGGTAGAGCCAAAGAGCCTATATAACGGCCAGGAGAACAATGCCCCAGTCTTCTTGTTTTAGTGGCGTCGGCGACAGGTGAAGCGCGTGTCTGTGCGTGTAGGTGCACTAGGGCGAGGGGCCGGCAATTCATTGTCGTGACTTGCGAGACGCGTAGATGGTCTCAACGTAGAGCGGCTTCATACAGGGAACATCGCTGGTATGTTGCGGTATGGTAACCGTTCTTAAATTATCTCTCCTTGCAGTGGGTCTATTTATTTAGTTTATTGTGAGCAGGGTTCTTGTTAAATTGAGACTACGGTCTAGATTGTTAATAAATCTACTGTTTTACAAACCACTCTCTTCTGTGTTCGATTACACCCGTATGACGCCTCGGTGGCGTCTCAAGGTTACGCATGAAAAAGGGCGAGGTAATGCAGCGTCAAATTATCATTATTATTATTATTATTATTATTATTATTATTATTATTATTATTATTATTATTACCTGATTTAATCCCATTAAGGGCAAGGGCCTCCTCCATGCAGGGTGAGTGCTTGGACTTGAACTAATTCTTACAACTTACAACTGGTGTAAATTATTCGCTAGTTACTTTCTTCTATGAGCTCTCGATTCGCTACTTGCGAGAGGAGAGGAGAGATTGATTGTTTGGACGAATTGAATTTTATATCGGATTTGTAGTTCGTTTTTCGATGTAAAATAGTTTCTTTGACTCGGTAGCGAACATATCTTGTTATCAGATTTTGTCTAAATTCCGTATACTATGCGTATACTGCATACATGCGTTTAATACCACACAGGAATATACATGTGGTATCTCATTTTTGGAAATGATTATGTAACATGTATCCCAACTACTGCAATAACGCTTTTCAGTGAAATTGTATTTTCTTTGTTAACGACCTGCGAAAACTTACTTACAAGATACGCCTCGTATCTATAATTTGGCTGTAACAATGCTACCTGATATAACGATAAAAAGTATTGAAATTGTGCATTGTACAATGTAAAGGACGAATTGGAAGTGTGAAGACACTTTCGAATCTGTCCCCAAAGGTGTCCAGCACACACTGGATCCCCACTTAGAAAGCTCTTAAAAATACGTGAAAAATAAAAATTGTCCAGAAACAGGTAAAAAATGTGGAAAATATACGGAACTACCTCGAAATAACGCAACCAAATTGGATTCGATCTCTCCTACAACCATCCAAATTTTCAAAAAAAAAAAAACAGGTTGAAAATTGAGTAAGTAAAGGGTCATTTGTAAATTCAAATTAACTTATCTCCGTAGCACGTTACACACAGTTTTTAACTGTTTTTGAGGTAAATAAATAAAAAAAATGTTAAAAGTGAAATGGGTAAGGGGATCCGGAAATATAGAGCCCCGGCCCTCAATTTTCGTGTTATGCTTCACGCGCCTAATATTTTTTTGAATTCAGCTTTTTTAAGTTGTGTATTTTTGATGATCCAAACTTCCCAAGTGGTGTGGTGACGTAATATTGTAGCGAGGCGTGGTTTTTAAAAATAATTGTAGTGAGGGACCATTCCCACGGAGGTGGCTGGGTGAAACAGTTAAAAAATCGAGCGTTTCTTTGTTTTTTCTCCAGTACACCCAGCATATGCTCCGTCAACCTCGGTGTGGACCAAACGCTCTTCGCTTTAACCCGGCCTCTCCCTCCGAATTAACCACAGGAGTTAAGCAGCTAAGTTCGGCCAGGAGTATACAACGCTTTAGCGATCACGGCTAAATCGACTTCTGGCATTTAGAAGTGAAGAAGACGCTTATATGTTTTGTTTAGGATGTTTACGTCTACGGAAGAAATAAAATTCGCAAAGTGTACCAAAACGGGTTGAAGAGAAATGCGGTGTGTGTATATGTGTGACAAGGGGCACTCAACGAAGGCCGTCCGTTGAAAGTCGGCGTTTATGAAGGCGAGCGCCTGTTTGTTTGTTCGTTTGTCCCCAGCACGAGCAGCAACATCATGGCTCGCCACGAGGAGCACGCGCGCGAGATGGAGCGGCAGCTGCGCCGAGAGCGGCCGCGCGACTGGGCCTACTACGAAGACCACTTCCGCGCCTTCCACCGCTACCTGCAGGCGCTGGCGGGCGACAAGGGCGTCGCCGAGATCCGCGACCCGCGCCTCTACTTCAAGTACGAGTGCTGCCTGCTCGCCCTGTGGCCCAAGCAGCAGTACGTGAACGCGCCCGTCCGCTACAACGTGTACCACACGGCCATGCGGCTGGCGCCCCGCTGCGTCAGGGACCGCCTCGTCACCGCCTTCGTGCATCTGCCAGCCTTCCAGGGTAAAGCAGCGTAGGGGGCTTTGGCGCGTTGCGAAATGGCGCGGAATGGGACGAGCGTGTAGAGCGCTCGCCACGTGGGGCGTCGCCTAGTTGTTCGGGCATGGCCGAGGTACGTGCGTGTCTTTCCTCCATAGGCAGGCGCTTTGAACACGAAACGAGACTGATGGAATTACTTACAGGAACTACAACGTAGTGGTTACCCAAAGTTTGTTAGGTTAGATTGAACTTCCTTACCTTTTGTACTTGCATACAAATTAGTTCTGTATGAAGTTGTTATTAATTCCGATGAAAAAATAACTATTTTCACTTGTAAATGAAAAACACGTGTACCAAAGCAACAAAAATTACGAATACTCGTCTGGACAGAGCTAATTTACACATTAGAAAGTGAAGGTGATGTTATAGGTGTTTGTATATATGATGTTTACTTTATTGTAGCATGGTACATAATATTTCTGCTATTGGAATATTCAACTAAAATATGCTAGCAAGTAATAATATTGGATAAGCTAAACATATTCTAAAATCAGGTACATGGACAGAAGTGAAATTGTATATCATTCTAGTTTTCATATGTGTACCCGGTTAATAATTATTAATGATTTATTTCCTTTCTTTTGCATTTTAGTACTTACGACCAACGTCTTTAACTGTGCATTACTTTTCAAATAGATGTTAACTTTTAAAAGTGCAGCTTTCTCTGATCTAACCAATTGACATTGCATGACAGTGCAAAATACATGAACTCTGCCACTTCAAAACTATTCTTAATTTTTTGAAAGAGTAAATAAAATATCTTTGACATTTCAGTTATAATAATGATTTCTACACTGGAGCATTTGGTAGTTCAAGAATGGCTTTTAAAGACAGAATTATAATGAAAACTGCTAATAATTCCTCTACTACCCACCTATTTGGAGAAACTTGCCTCAAAACCAGCACACCCAAACTTCATTTTGAAATGTAGCATCTATGCTATTGAAATTGAACTCGTGAACCCTCATTACCGACTCAAAAAGCCTCTTTAGTTTAATTTAAACACTCAATGTGGTAGACACAGGTAGATGATAAATTAAAAAAAATAGTGTGTCATTTGGAACTGGCTCAATTTACTCTAAATAGAGAGGTGTATAATTATTTTATAAATCAGACCTTTACACACTTGGCTTACAACATAGAACTGTGAAGAAATTATACTGTAGCTATTTTTATGTCCTAATTTTATTGTATGTAATTTGTGTACATACTGTTCAATATTTTCATTAGTAATCTCTTTTTTACATAAATTATCACTGTTCATCTTTTAAAATTACTACAAATTGTTTATTGTAAATTTATTTTGTGGTAAAAAGAAATTGGAATCAGTCATGTCATGTGCAGAAGGATCTTGGATGAAGTACTAACAGTCTCGTAGATTTTGATTTATAGAATAATACTTTGTTTCATTCATTTAATTTGGAATTCATTAGCTTCTTGTGCTTACTAATTTTCTGTAAATTACTTTTGAAGATATAGCCAAAAACAATTCTTATCACCTCTACCTTACCAGTGTAATGGTATGATTATATATGAATTTTTTGGTCTGAGTTGATACATGTGGACGTCAAAGCAACCTTTTGAAGCAAAACTATTTGATACTATCTATCTGAAGTACTAATGAAAAAGACATTGAGAGTTAGGTGGACAAACTCATATTATTTAAAAGTACACATTAAATGAATATATAATAGATACTAGTGATGATTTTCATATATTACATTTTTTAAGAATGTTTCATAAGTTTTGATGTTTTTTCTGAAACTGTACTCAGACACACATATGAAGAAAGTTTTGTTCAAAGAGAATCAATATTATTACAATTTTTCCCTCAGTTAATTAGTTCAAAATGATTTTGTGCAGGAGAGATTTTATTCACAAGGACAAAGTTTAAAAACCAAGGTACCTGTTGTATTGGATTCTATTTCCGAAAGGGAGAAAAATGTCATAAACTCATAAGTGAGAAATTTTAATTCAAGAATCCTAATATTGTATCTCACCTTCCATTGTTTCGATGAATGTTATCGTGGAGAGAAACAAGTGGATATGCATTTGAAATCTCATTTGCTTTAAAGACATTGTCCATAAGTAGTGAAAATGAACAAGAGAGTGTTGTATTAATGAGTGAAAAAGTATCAGCCAGTGTGATTATTAGGGGAGAGTGGATGGCATTTTAAGTGCAAAAACCGCACATTTTTTGGAAGAAATATGGCTATGTGAACAAATATGACAATGTTTAATTGTAATATTTAAATGTTGTCATAGATCAAATATAACTTATTATGAAATATTGTTTCATAAGTTATATTGTTGTCAAAGTGCTACAAACAAATTGATAGAGTTTTTGAATTAATTGTATTAGAAGTGGAAAAAAGAAATTTATAAAGAATCAGTGTTGTGTTGATAGAAAAAAACACAAAATAAAATGTTATTCAGTGATAAAGACGAAAAAATAACTGATGTTGTTACAGCGTCTAGTGAAAGTACAATTAATATTAACTTTTTCTAACAGCAAAATTATTGTTAGTAAGGAATTATATAATAATGCGATAACAAAGAATAATGAGATAAATTATATAATAGTAATAAAAGATATCTTTATTTTGTTACAGTGAAGGAAACATGAATATTTAAAGAATGAACAATATTCAGTTTCATTTTTTACATTATTAAATTGTTATAAATACGTTCGTTTTTCGAATGTAATTGAAGAAACAAATTTTTAATGTAGCATAAGTCATTGTGGATTTTCTAAAAAATTGTATCTTAAGATTTGATTTCTATATTCTTCATCTGCTTTGGATATATCTAGTACATACTCAAGCAAAATCCATCAATCATTATTCTCGTGTCATTGTTCATCTTAAGCAAGTTTTTACGTTAAGAAAGGTGGGGAATAACCACTGTACATTACAGAAAGAGGAAGGTATAACAAGAGAAAGGTTGCCTTTGAATTAATTTTAGAAGAATAATTTTTGTAAAATGTGTTTAAGTGTCGTTATGGCATTCGTGTATTATTTTATATTAAATATGATAGAAGATGGAAGATTTAGAGGGGCCTGACCAAACTAAATGGTTTTATAATGAGAAGACACTTTACATCATACAGGTTTGTTATATTATCAATCAGTACTCTATGATCGTAATTAAGTCAAGTCAATTAATGAGATATGTTTCTTCTTTCATTTAATTTTAAAAAATCTATTTATATTATACATACACACCTTCGGCACGGCCGGCTGGGCTCGGCTCGGCCGTGATGACGAGGTTGTTCGAATGTAATTGAAGAAACACATTTTAGAAGCGGCCACTTAAGCGCCACTTAAGCGGCTGGACGGCGTGCGGGTTCGCGGATGGGTGACCGTGCGGGACGCCCGGGAATGTAACGGCGCCGAGTTCCTGGTCGAAGGGATAAAAGGCACAGACTGAATAGATGAGAGGAGAATTACTCCACTGGGCGTTGGGCGCCAGGAGATGGCTAGGGATATTTTAACAGCTTCCGGGGCCCCTATTCTTACTTTCACCGATCTTCTCCCCCATTCACAAATTTGATGCTGGGATATAAAGAAAATTCTATATTTTTAATGTAAACAAATATTTTGAAATATCTTTGTGTTTCAGTTGAATATTATGTAAACATATTAGTACGTGAGAATCACTGCGTTATGTCAATTTTTGTTTATAGTTTAACCATTTATCACTTTTGTATACGGTTTATTATTTTTTTAAATTTAGAATTGAATTTTTTAAAGAAGTGGCAGTTATAGAGAGTGGGTGTGTCGCTGCACAGAGCGAGCGGCGTGGTGGCGACGGCCGCGTCAACTGCGGGGCGTTCTGGCGCTGAAGGCGGTGGCGGCGCCGCCCTCCTGCAGGCTGCGCCCGGCCCTGCCCCCGGCCTCGGCCCCGCGGCCCCCCGGCCCCAGGACCCCCCCGCGGGTGGGCCGCTGCACGCGCGTACCCTCCTCGCGCGAACCCAAAGCAACGCGCGTCGCGTACAGGCCGGTCCGCTGTAGGCATCGCAGTAGGAGTCAAAAGTCGAATGCATGCGTACAAAGATACTGTGAATAGCCATGTCCCCGCAAGATAACACATATGGTAAATTAAAAAAAATATATCTGGCCCATCCCTTTTCTGTTACGATTGATACGTTCTGATAGAATATAGATTTCTAATCCATTGAAGGAAAACGGCTGTTAGCACAGCATCGGCTCTGGTGTTGAAAGTGAAGAGTCATACCTAGGCGCTTCAGGGGGACGTCCACGGGGCGCATGTGCTCTAAGAACTTCTAGGTTTGCGCTGGGAGTAGGTATCTAAAGTTGAATGCACGCCTACGAAGCTACTGTAAACTGCCATGTCCCCGCAAAATAAGCCGTTATATAAATTTAAAATATCTAGCCTGGTCCATCCCTTTTCTGTTGCGGCACAAAACGATAGAACATGGATTTCCACCCCTTTTAAGGAAAAGCTAGTTTACACGGCTGTGCCAACTGTTGGCACCGCATCGGCTCTGGCGTTGAAAGTGAAGAGTCATACCTAGGCGGTCAGGGGAACGTCCACGGAGCTCATGTGCTCTAAGAACTTCCTCTAGGTTCACCCTGGGAGTAGATATCAAAAGTCCAATGCACGCGTACAAAGCTACGGCAATCTGACATGCCCCCGCTAAATAACTCATTATGTAAATTTGAAAAATGGATTCTGGTCCATCTCTTTTCTGTTGCGACTAAATTCGACGGAATATGTATTTTTAATCCCCTTTCAAGGGAGCACTGGCTGACACGGCCACTATATCCACGCAAAGGAGGCACCGTGTCGTAAAGGCCGTTCCACAACAACCCGTGAACTGGAAGGGCAACGCGAAAGCTGAAACTCCCATCTGAGGCAGCGTTCGCAACAAGACGGAATGGACGTACGGCATTTACTATCTTCTCCCGGGCACGGGAAGCCTCTCGACCAATGAGAGTGCAACCAATGGCGGCGACGCTTCCCAGCTGCTGGAGCACGTGACAGGGGAGGAGCAGAGTGGAGTGGAGTTGAGAGTGTTGTGCGATATTGAGGCGGGGTTTCTTTATCATTGAACTGTTTCAGTTCTTTTTAGTCATTGCAGTATAATTGTTTTTCTGTTCATGTGAATACATAGTGTTAAATTTCTTTCAAATTTTGTTTCGTTAAAGTACATTGGAATTGCTTCTTTAATGATAAAATTTAAGTTAGTTGTATTTTTCGTACGTTCGTGGTAGTTTTGTGGTTTCTCATTAATATTCTTGCGTTAAAGTATTGATTACTCGTAGCAGCATAGGTAGACAGATGGCAAAGCAAAGAGTGAACAGCTAGCAGTACATTTGTTTCAGCAACTGTTTCTAGAAGTGCTCTTAGTTGCCGCTACGAAGCGCTGTTCCTTTTGTTGGCGTTCCTGGTGCCGGGCAATGGCGGAGCGCCCTTAACAGGCAACTCGAGCTGCGGGCGCAGCGCGCTTGTGCTTGTGGCGTTTCGCGTAAGCTAAGAGGCTAAGTCGCGTGGCTGGTGTGCGCGCAGGCATGGGCGCGGCCGCCGTCAGGTGAGGCTCGCGCGGCGGAGGAG